AGCTGAACATTCCTCTGCAGGGGTTCTACTCTTGAGTGTTCCCCTCAAGCTTTTTGTTTGAACAAGTATTACAAATAAACTGAGTGCATTGCAGCTCTGCTTTTTCTGGGACTGATGGTGGTTCCACCTTTTGTTTAATTGCAGGTGTCTCTGGGAGTAAAGTGGTGCAGAATTAATTTCGAGTTCCTGCCTTTTCACCCTGCTCTTGACACCTGCTCGTTTTATGGCCTGTCACAAGAACACCCGAACATCTGGTGGCTTCCTTCTGTGTCTCACTATAGAAAAGCCTCCAAGTTGTACTGAAAACTTTCCCTGAGCCTTCTTCCTGAGCCTTCCTTCATTCCAGGATCTTTACATTCCAAGGCAGAATTCAGAACACTGATGTCAAGCTCTGGAGCACTGGGACAGATGGCTCAGTTCTAATCCCACGTGTATTATATCTATATGGAAAACAAAAACAAGTTTTCACTCTGATTTAGAAAGCTGGTCCACAATGAAATTTAAAAGCAGCTTAATTCTGAATTTTTCTAAGCCAGCTAAGCCAGGTAATTTAGGTTAAAGTAGAAGGAAGATTTGGGGAAGAAATAAATTTGACTTTGAAAATCAAGGGGAGATGAATCTCATTATGCTTTAAACATTTGACAATTTGCCATTTAGTGCTAAAATTAGTAATTTAGTGTTGCAATAAGCAATTTAGTGTTATAACAACAGGATTATGTACAAAACTTGGATTCCTCAGGGACAGCCACCAGTAGTTCCCTATTCCCTGAGGAACAACATGTTGAAGGTAGAGAAGACCCTGCAGGCTCTCTGGACAGTGAACTCTAAAATACTGAGAGAGAACAGGAAAAAGTCAGTGCTTTTTCTGGAAAATGTTTGCATAGAATTAAATCAGAGCACATTCGGTGTGTACATTGGGAGTGCTTTATTATGACTGTAACAACATCAGACAAAAGCTGCCAGATAAGTAACTGGACTCTAACTCCTATTCCAGCTGAGGAAAGGGTGTAACAAGGAAGAGAAATTATTTGCAGAAGGAAAACAATAATTTGAAAAGCCTCCTCCTGCTCATTTTAAAAATAATATCCCAGAGCTCTGCATAAATTCAGTCATGGCCAGGTTTCTCCAGTTTGAATGAGTTCAGAGGGCAGCTGCTTTTCTATATTATTATTATATTTCTATATTGTATTTGCAACCCAGGTAATGCCAGGGACAATGCAGATAATTCCATGGCTTTATCCTGGATGTTTGACTTTTCAGAACTGAGAAAGAATTCAGCTCTCTGAGCTGAAAGGTAGAAAACATCTGCAATTCGAGTCACTCATCTGGCTTAGTATGAAGTGCCATGAAAAAAGGATGTTTCTGAATGGAGACTTTTTTAAGAAACTTGTAGCTCTAGATAATAAATCACTGGACTTTTATCCAGAACAATTCCTAAGTGGACACAGGAATTTCCATTCAAAGCATCAGTGCTGCAATAATCTGTAAACAAGTGCAGCTCCTGACTGCTGTGGGTGTGTCATGCTAAAGGTATTTCAGGATGTCACATTTTAGTGAAAGTTCTGTGTGAAAAGAATGACTGAAATAAAACTTGGGAGGCAGATTTTGGGCCAGAAGGGAACACACAAAGTGATTATTTTTATATAGCTTTAGCTTAGAGAGAGCTGTCCAGTTCCCAGAATGTCTCCTAGTTCACCATTATTCGTGTATTCACATTGAACCATTCCTTTCCTTTTTGTACCAACTTATGTGCTTTTATTTATTTTTTTTCCCAAATCCATCTGTGTTAAGCAATCCCAGTTTATTCAATCTTCAAGGAAAAAAAAAAAAAAAACCTGGAAAAAGGCTAAGGATAGGATCTGAGATAGGACAAACACATCTCATGGAACAACTACAGATGTTCCTCATGTCACCAGAGCAACAGAATGTTGCCGCCGGTTTGTCTACCTTTGTTAAGTTTGAATTAGTTTGCCCCAGTTGCTCCCCTGTTAGCCGGAATGGTCTCTTCCCAGTTTTCCACCACTGTAGACCCATCCCTTATTTCCAGAGAATTCCCCATCCATCACCCTTATCCTGCCCTCAACCCCTGTCTGTCCACGTAAGCCCAACCCTTTATTCTAGCTCTTTCCCTGCCCTTTATCCCTTCCTCGAAGCCCCATTGATTGTCTAGCTGCCGTCCCTCCCCCGTGTCTTTACCATTGGTTCCGAACACTGTAATCCCCTCCTACGACCACTCCTCTGATGTATCCCCATTGGTTAATACTTTCACCGCCCCCTTGCCTTTAAAACCCGACGCACAGAGGTGCTGGGGGTCTCGGCTCAGACCTCTTCCCTGCAGTCCCAGCCCTTCCCTTTGTCATTCCTCCCTTGCCCTTACAATAAAACTCGTTCCTGGGAAATTGGAAGAGACTGAGTCCTCTCTCTCCTTTCGCCGCGACCTACTGGGACTAACAGAGGCTAACTGTTTGGAGCTCTGGAGGTTCCGTGCTGAGGCAAATTGCATTTGCATGGTTCCCCACTCTTGGCGTTGCCAACGGCCAGAGAGTCCTGAGCTAGCCAGAGCGTGAGAGGCCGTGAAGACCAGGCAGCGTCAGCTGGCGCCCAACGTGGGGCCTCCCCATCGTGAGGAGACCCCCGGAAAGGTCGTTTCCTTGTGTGGATTTACAAAAGACTGTGGGCGGCAGCTACCCTGGTGCAGAGCAGACCCATTTTTGTCAGGTGGCGCTCCCGGGGGTCAAGGCGGCAGTCCTCGTGCGTGCAGAGGATCACCTTGAGGTCGTGGACATCCCCTGCAGCTCCTGTCAGGATTTGGGTGAGTATTCCCCAGTGGGGGAAGAGGGGGAGTGTGTGTGTCCCCCTGTGTGTGTTGTTGTGACTCCCTCGGGGAGGGAAAGTGTGTTTTAACCCGGTCCTGACCCTTATTTTTAGTTCTTTACGTTATCCTTTTGCTGCCAGGGGGTGGTGGGACTGCTGAGCCGGGGGGTGAAAAATGGGGGCACATTTGTCAGCTCAGCAGAAGAGAGTTTTTTACCAAGTTGTGGAAACCCTTGAGGGGGGGAAAAGGTAGTTTTCTAGAGGGAGGGTTAAAAGGTTTGTGAACTGGATGATCCTGCACTTTCCTGATATTACCCCTGATAAAATTAATTCAGTAGATTTTTGGAATTCAGTTGGAGTGAAATTGACCGAATTAGTAAATGAGGGGGACAAATCCGTTTCTAAATTTGTGACGCTTTTTATTTTAATTCGGTCGACAATAATTGAGCAACAGAAAGTGCAGAAACAGCCACCACAAGCCTCCCCAGTTTCCCCATCCCCAAGTTCCTCTCCCCCTGGTCCTGAGTTGAGGGAGACCTGCAGAGTGAGCTGTAATGCGCAGGGTTCTCCCAAGGGTAATAAGATCCCTGGCTCCCCACGTCTCCTTCAAGACCCTTGCCCTGACAACCCTGGCCAAGCTGTCAGAGCACCTACCCATTCCCCTACTTCCCCAGTTGTGAAATCCCTGTTTAATACTTCCCAGGTTCAGAGTTCTCCATTAAGTTGTGCTGTTAATTCCCAGTTCCTATCCCCAGATCCCTGTGCCTCAGTTTCCCCCAATTCTTATTTTTCCCCTATGCTTCCCTATCCTACCCAAGACCCTCAAAATGGCCCCCGAAGGGTACAAGATGGTGGGGACCACATGGCTGGGACCTTCCCTTGTGCCCCTTCTTCCCACAATCCCTTCCGTCCCTCTGTGAACAACCCCTTTCTACCTAACTCCTCCCTTTCTCCCTACCCTAACTCCTCCCATTTCCCCTCGAGAGTTTCCTCCTCTTCGGGGGCATGTTCAAGTGACATCACACACCTAAACCCCACCTTCGCCAGTCATTTCTCCTCCCCCTTGCCCTCCTCCTCAGCGAGTCCTCCAGTCCCGCCCCTTCCGGCTCCTGGTTCCCATGCTCCTCCTTCTGGTTCCCACGCCTCAACATCCGGTTCCCACGCTTTGAGAGTCGGGGGCGGGGGGGGGGGGGGCCAGGGAACCAGAACCCGGAACTGGTAAATATCCCCCTTGCCGCACCGGTGACTTTTTGGGGAAGGGGAGGGTGGTCCCGGGAGTGGGAAGCCTTCTCTTTTCAAACAAAAAGGGAGCTGTGCAAAGCACAGAAGGAGTTCGAGAGGGGCAGCGAATATTTTAAAGGTCTATTAAAAGCAACCTTCTCCGCGAACGAAATGGTACCCAGTGATCTGAAAGAATTGTTTTCCTGCCTCCTTTCCACGGCTGATTTCAGGCTGTGGAAACAGGGGTGGAAGAGATCATTGGAGACCATCCTTCCAAGTCTCTTGCACAGTAATGAAACTGCTGTAGATGCAGATGGAATCCCTTTGACTTTAGAGCACTTGTGCGGTGAAGGGGATTGGGACAAAGCAGAGGAGCAGGCCAGGGTTCTGCCTCGGCCTGTGCTGATTAAAATCATGGAGGCCGCAGAAAAGGTATTTAATACTCTACCTGAGGAAGGGCCCCAGATACACCTAATGAGCATTTATCAGCTCCCTAATGAACCTTTCAACAAGTTCATTGACAGGTTGCAAGCTCAAGCACAGAGGCAGGTTGAGAGGGCAAACTTGCAAGAACAGCTTGTGTTAGAAGCTGCGAAAGCTAATGCAAATGACATCTGCAAGCAAGTTATCTTCAGTCTGCCCCTCTATCCAACTCCAACGCTGGACATCCTCATCGAGGCCTGCGCCAAGAAAGTCCCGATGGTGGGGATGTCCAGAGCCATTCCACTGCCGCCATCAAAGAAGATACCCACTGCAGCCGTGATGCAACCACTTCTGCAGACACCAGCGCGGACATTACAATGCTACCACTGCGGGCAACCTGGGCACATGGCCAGGGATTGCCTGGCAGCGGACCCTAGCCAAGGGAGCAATCGGGGGGCGAAAACAATAGACACAGTAAAAAAAACAAACTATGGGAGCAGCCCGAACCTGCCCCGCGTGAAGCGATAAATGGGGCAGGTCTCATGGGGGAGGGGGGTTCATTGCACCGGACATGGCCAATTAACAGGACACGACATTTAACTACTATTAAAGACATCCTCTTTCAGACCCAGCACTGGACAGTAGTTGCTGTGGATCCACTGGAGGGAGAGAAGACAAATACCAGACACGTCTGTAAGTACATCACCATCGGGGACACTAAACACACACCCCCAGAGATTGAGATCTCTCCAATCACCTTCCTGGGTGGTCCAGAAGATCTCATTCTCTTGGCACGCTGCATTCACCCACCATATTTCCTCCCTAAAGGTCAAATTATCGCACAATACATCCCCTGTCCCTGAGGGAGTCCCAGTAGACGACCACGCACCAGACGTCTACTGGGCAGAAGTAGTGGGTGAAAATAAGCCCATCGTAAATTGCAGCATCAAGCAGGGTGCAGAATTAGTCAACTTGAAGGGTCTGCTTGATACGGGGGCAGATGTGACGATCATCCCCCAAAGGAGATGGCCGTCACATTGGGAATTGCAACCCGTGGCAGGAAAAGTACAGGGTATAGGGGGTACCCAATTGGCTCAAGTTTCTAAGCGTAGTACAAATTATGGGGCCGGATGGGCAATTGGCGAACTTACGCCCATTCATTGCAGATTTCCAGGTTCCCTTGTGGGGGAGGGACCTCATGTCACAATGGGGAGTGAAGACTGAAATCCCAAAAACCCCTCGGGATTTTTAATAGTGGCCACTGTGGAGCGCCCCTTCCAGAAACTCGATTGGACCACTAATGAAGCAATCTGGATTGATCAGTGGCCGCTCCAAAAAGACAAATTGAAGGCGCTCAACGAGCTCGTGGAGGAGCAACTAGTAAAGGGTAACATTGTAGAGACCACCAGCCCTTGGAATTCCCCGGTGTTTGTCATTCGGAAACCGGGGAAAGACAAGTGGCGACTCCTCCACAACCTTCGTGCGATTAATAAAATCATTGTTGACATGGGGCCCCTTCAACCAGGGATGCCTACCCCAACTATGCTCCCCCGAGATTGGAATTTGGCCATAATTTATATAAAAGATTGTTTTTTTCAAATTCCCCTACACCCTGATGATGCCCCACGGTTTGCCTTCTTGGTACCCACCCTTAACCGAGAAGCCCCAGTGAGGAGATTCCACTGGCGAGTGTTGCCACAAGGCATGAAAAATTCACCCACGATCTGCCAGTGGTACGTCTCCTCGTTGCTGTCTCCCGTGCACAAAGAGATGGGGGAGGTCATCATCCACCATTACATGGATGATGTCCTAGTGTGTGCCCCCCATGACGATCTACTTACACGATCTCTTGACCGAGTGGTTAAAGTTTTAACATCTGCAGGCTTTCAACTCCAGGAGGATAAAGTTCAAAGGATGCCGCCCTGGAAGTATCTGGGTCTGCGGATTGCTGAGAGGACCGTTGTGCCTCAAAAATTGGCAATAAACAGCAATCCGAAAACCTTAGCAGACCTCCACTCACTGTGTGGGACATTGAACTGGGTCAGGCCTTGGCTAGGCCTCACTGCGGAAGACCTAGCCCCCCTCTTCATACTTTTGAAGGGGGAGAAGGAACTGAGTTCTCCCAGGACCCTGACCCCAGAAGCAAGGAAAGCCCTGGAGAAAGTGCAAGATGCCCTTGTAGAGAGACAAGCGCATCGGTATGAACCAGCCCTGCCATTTGAATTTATAGTGCTAGGGAGAATGCCACACCTCTGTGGGTTGATTTTTCAATGGGACCGAGGCTCCAAGGATCCCCTCTTGATCATAGAGTGGGTTTTCTTGAGCCACCAAAGGTCCAAGAGTGTCACCCGGCCACAGGAACTGATGGCTCAGCTTATCGGGAGAGCTCGAGCTCGGCTTCGGGAGATGGCCGGGTGTGACTTCGCATGTGTTCGGGTACCGGTTAGCTTGTCTCGGGACAAAGCGTCCCCAGATAAGCTGACAAAGGAAATGTTTGATCAGTTGCTTCGAGAGAATGAGACCCTCCAGATTGCTTTAGATAGTTATGAGGGACAAGTTTCGGTCCACGCCCCTGCCCATAAATTCTTCAATTCAAAATTTGATGTGATTCCAAAAGAATTGCGGAGCAGGAAGCCCCTCAAAGCCTTGACCGTGTTCACTGATGCATCCAGGGCATCTCACAAGTCGGTAGTAACTTGGCGAGATCCCAAAACTCAGCAGTGGGAAACAGATATTAAATATGTGGAGGGATCTCCACAAGTCGCTGAGTTGGATGCAGTCATCAGGGCCTTTGAGAGGTTCTCTGAACCTTTCAATTTGGTCACAGATTCGGCATATGTAGCAGGGGTAGTTGCAAGGGCTGAACATGCAGCCCTAAAGGAGGTCTCAAATCTGAAGTTGTTTGAGTTGCTTTCTAAACTAATCTACACTGTTTCCTACAGAAAGCAACCCTTTTTCGTAATGCATGTGAGGTCACACACGGATCTCCCCGGCCCGGTAGCCGAGGGAAATCAAATGGCTGATTCCCTCGCTGCCCTAGTTTCAATGGCTCAGCTCCCTGATTTATTCCAACAAGCCAAGCTGAGCCACCAGATGTTCCATCAGAATGTGCCTGGTCTGATTCGCCAATTCCACCTGCGGTGGGATCAAGCCAGAGCCATTGTGGCCACATGCCCACATTGCCAAACCACCTCCATGCCCTCCCTGGGGTCAGGAGCTAATCCTCGAGGCCTAGGGAGTTGTGAGGTGTGGCAAATGGATGTGACCCATGTTCCCGAATTTGGCAGGTTGCGGTTCGTACACTTGTCCATAGATACTTTCTCGGGTGCCGTCTTTGCTTCTGCCCACACAGGGGAGAAAGCCGAGCATGTCTGCAAACACCTCATGCAGGCTTTCTCTGTGCTGGGGGTCCCCAAGGAGCTTAAAACTGATAATGGCCCAGCATACACCTCCAGGAAACTGGAGGGATTCCTGCAAGAGTGGGGAGTTGAACACAAGAGAGGCATCCCACACTCCCCCACCGGCCAAGCGATTGTGGAGCGAGCCCACCAGTCACTCAAACGTGTCCTGAAACATCAGTGGGAAACAATGAAAGGTTACACCCCTCAAGATCGGTTATGTAAAGCGCTATTTACCATCAATTTTTTAAATTGTAGTGACAGTGACCCCAACCCTCCAGTGGCTCGACATTTTCAATCCACCAGCAACTACAAGCTTCAACATCACCCTCCAGTGCTGGTACGAGACCCAGAGACCCAAAAGGTCCTGGGTCCGTTCGATCTGGTGACCTGGGGGTGAGGTTATGCTTGCGTCTCCTCGCCCCAGGGGCTAAGGTGGATCCCGCAAAAGTGGGTGAAGCCTTATGTCCCGAAACATCCTACCAGGCCACCAGACGAACAAGAGGATGGCATCGTGTCCATGCAGGCCACCCCCGTGACCCCTGAGGGAGAAGAAGAGGAGGAAAACCTCGAGCCCCCCATCCCTATTGATGTATTACTTTCCTATTATGTTAAGTAAACTGCCTATTTCTTTTGTTACAGAGAGCCATCTGAAGGATGACAATCCTGAAAAGCACCCTGACCAGCACCATCCTGATGCTGTTAGTGACCCAGGTCATCGTGTGGATCGTGCCCCAACCTAAACAGAATGTCTGGGTCATGTTAGCAAAGTCCCTGCAACGAGACGAGTTATGCCTGTCCACCAGAGCAGTAGGAAATCCGATGACCACGTGCCTGGTGGGGATCCCATTAAAACCAGCTGAGTACCCAGAGTCCCTGTTAGAATTAGTTAAAGAAATTAATAAAGGCAAACCGGCTCAGCGGGTGGTCCGCTCTGCCCCAACCTATAAAGTAAAGAGACCTGTCCAGAATCCCCTCCTCCTTTGGAGAGACTGGCAGGCCTTCCTGGAATGGGCTACTGCTGAGCCCCAAGAATTTGATTTATTAAACTCCTCCCCAGCGCCCTATTGTATCCACTTCTGTTACTACCCTTCAGTTCCTACTCTGTATCCTCAGTTAATACAAGATAACAAACAGTTTCAAGCAACCACCTGGTGCAGGAACATCACCCAGGTAAAGATGCCTTCGACCCTTAGTTCTCACCCCCTTAAGTTGCCCAAAGGCATGTTCTTGATTTGTGGGGACCGAGCGTGGGCTGGCATCCCCTCTCACCTTCTCGGAGGGCCGTGTACTTTGGGCCGGTTGTCCCTGTTTGCCCCCAACACGACCCAAATTGAAAATTGGGAACTAAAGAATAATTCGGTTATTAAGAAGCGCAGTCTGGAGGATCTTGACCCCAACTGTGACTCTGAAATTTTTCATTGGAGTAGACCAAAACGGGTTGCAGTGTCGGTATTTTTGCCATGGTTAGCCGCTGCTCAAGCCCTGGGCGAATTAGGCCAATTTGAGTGTTGGGTAGTCAAACAGGCCAATTTGACGTCAACTGCGCTGAGCGACCTCCTCGAAGACGAGGAAATAACCAGGTGAGCAACCCTTCAGAATCAAGCGGACATCGATTTTCTACTGCTCCTGCATAACCATGATTGCAGAGAATTCGAGGGGCTTTGCTGCATGAATCTGACAATGAAGAGCCCAGACATCCGAAAAGCCATCTCAGAGATGAAGGGCATGATCCATCAGATCCATCAAGAGACTGGCGACTGGGTCACCAATCTTTTCTCGGGATGGGGGGTCTCCAGCTGGCTCTCTTCAATCATACGGACTATATTATGGGTTGTCTTTGTTGTTTTTATTGTTTTATGCGCGTTCGCGATGTTACGAAGATGTTTAACTCGGTCCGTCCTTTCTCTGTTATCCCCCCCACCGCAAGTTAATTGTGTTAATCTAAATCCTCCTCCTCCACCATCTCCCACTCCCGAATGGTTTACTGTACCCTCTGCTCCCCCAGACCCCACATCTTCCTCCTTTTCTTAAAAAAGAAAGGGGGAGATGTTGCCGCCGGTTTGTCTACCTTTGTTAAGTTCGAATTAGTTTGCCCCAGTTGCTCCCCTGTTAGCCGGAATGGTCTCTTCCCAGTTTTCCACCACTGTAGACCCATCCCTTATTTCCAGAGAATTCCCCATCCATCACCCTTATCCTGCCCTCAACCCCTGTCTGTCCACGTAAGCCCAACCCTTTATTCTAGCTCTTTCCCTGCCCTTTATCCCTTCCTCGAAGCCCCATTGATTGTCTAGCTGCCGTCCCTCCCCCGTGTCTTTACCATTGGTTCCGAACACTGTAATCCCCTCCTACGACCACTCCTCTGATGTATCCCCATTGGTTAATACTTTCACCGCCCCCTTGCCTTTAAAACCCAACGCACAGAGGTGCTGGGGGTCTCGGCTCAGACCTCTTCCCTGCAGTCCCAGCCCTTCCCTTTGTCATCCCTCCCTTGCCCTTACAATAAAACTCGTTCCTGGGAAGTTGGAAGAGACTGAGTCCTCTCTCTCCTTTCGCCGCGACCTACTGGGACTAACAGAGGCTGTTTGGAGCTCTGGAGGTTCCGTGCTGAGGCAAATTGCATTTGCACGGTTCCCCACTCTTGGCGTTGCCAACAGCCAGAGAGTCCTGAGCTAGCCAGAGCGTGAGAGGCCGTGAAGACCAGGCAGCGTCAACAGAATTCCTAAGGAAGAAAAATCAAAAGGCTTGTTTGGAGTGGTGTAATTGGGAATTTATTACATTTTAATTTACTTGGTCCGTCATTTCACATCACATTGACTTTAAGATTTGGTTTTTCATTCCCTCATCATGTGCTCTCAAGTAAATTAGAAGTTTTGCTGATCCTTAAATGAGTATCTTACCCTAATTTATGTTTTCATCTCTTGAGTTGCTTAACTTTTACAGCAGTATTTTTAAAAACACCTCAAAAAGGGCCATGCTAGGATGAGAGGACCAAGCAATGATTTCTACAACGTTTTTTTTCTGCTTTTTTCATACATAGCTAACAGTGAAATAGGGTTAGGCTCATGAAAAGCTGTGTTTTCCCTTATTTTAAAAATTAAAATTTGCCATTTGCTTTAACAGCTTCAATAAAACATTATTGGAGTCTGGGTAGAATTGAAATAACATATTTTGCCTGCTAGAATCAATTTTCTAAAATATAGGTAGGCTTTAAAGTCATTAGAACAGACAGAAAGTGCCAAGTGAAGCAGAACTTCTTTTGGGAAGCAGCCAACAAATATCAGAAGGTGGCTCCTTATGCTTTGAAGGAACACTTGTAGGCTACGGAGATGGTAACCAAGAAAATATTTAAATTTATTTAAATGTGGAAATTATGTGGATGGGGGAAGCTCTGGACATTTACATTGCTCCCAAATCTCCTCTTTGTGTCCCCAGGTGGCATGGAGCTTCCCACACTCGTGCCACATGGCATTTATTGGGAATATTCACCTTCCCTCAAAATTCCAGGAGATTATATTGTTAAATTATGAATTAGAGGAAGGTTTCAGTTGAATGCAAGGCTCATTCACATAGTCCATTGAATTCTCTGTGCTACAGCCTTACCCCAGGTATGGACTTATAGAGATGTTTGTGGCTAAGTGAGGGTTTGGCTTTTAAGGAAAGGAAAAAAAACAACATAAAACTGAATACTAAACATCTAAAGGTCCCTTAGTTTATTTGGATTTTTTTAATCAGTAAATGCTCATATAAATAATTTGTTGCAAGAAATGAAACTAAGTATGAACAGCAGAGAAATTGCCACCTCCCCTAATTCTGGATGGCTTTCCAATTTAGCCAGAAAGAGACTTGAGCTCAAGTACTTTTTCCAGTTCCACGGAAGGGTTTTCATCTCTGCTGCTGCTTAGTGTGAGCATTTTAAGGATTCATGGCATACTTTGGTTCACCAGTCTCATTTACATAATCCACAGGTCCACAATTTCCTCTGTCCAATATGGTGTGACTAAATGGAGACTAATTGGGAAAATACAACAATTTGACTGCTACAAATATGGTTTATATTAAAAATACTGTTTTGCAATCTCCCTGCTTTTATTTATTAGTGGAATCACAGAGTCATTAAGGCTGGAAAAGAACTCCAAGCCCCCTTTTTCCACAATCCCACTGTGGCCACTCATCTGTCACAAAATATTTGTATTGTCCTCTAGGGACCAGAGCAACAACTGGGACTTTTCCATACCCTGGCACTGTTTAAATGTTGATATTTGGGGTTATTTTTTTGTGCAGATTAAAATGAAAATGTCCTTTAAATGATTTGGAAATAATAATTTTCTATTTTCTATAAAATAAATCCCTCAATTTAGAAACCATCTAAGATGAAGCTGGGACAGATTTTTTTTCATGAGCTGTATTTTAATTATTGCACAAAGACAGTAATTGATGTGCTGAGCATTAAAAGTCCATTTGGACTTGATTATTTTGTCTTTTAATACTTCGGCCTCCAAAATGAATTTTTAAGCTTCTTGTAATATTTGAAAATAAAATTAATTTCGCAGTTTTCTTTAAAAATAGAAATGTGAGAATTTGAAAAGCACTGTTAATTTTAAAACTGATGGGAACCCCTCTGATTTTCATTTACCAGCAGTGCAAAACCTGCCCTATATTATAAATGCTAATGATGGCATAGACATTTCAAAGAATTTTATGCCTAAACTTAAAGAAAATACATTACTTAGTCCAGTGCTAATCTTTTACACTCTCTAATGCTAAGCCTCATTTATGCTTTTAAACTTCATTAAAAATAACTGTAGGCCATATTATTTCAAATGGCCTCTCTGATCAAAGGAAGTCTTATTTTTTTCCCCCAGTATAATTTTTCTTTCCTTATATTTAGGACTTCCTATTGATTTTTTGACTTTCACTTTGCAGCTAATGTTATCTTTTTCTTAAACAATATTTTTTTCTCCCTGAGGGATCTTTTGTAAGCTCAAAATCTGACTATGTGGAAGAGGATAAGCATTAGGAAACTGTCCATGTCATACTTGGAGCTGCAGAAATTGCTGTAAAAATGATCTGCTGTGCAGGAGGAAAATTCATGCACAGTTTCTACATGGAACATGTTCTTGGAGCCTCCTGCACCAAGGAGCTTCCTTTGTCCACTCTGAGCCAAGGAATGGGCATTTTTAAGAGACCTTATTGTGTGATTCCTACCAAAAGAAGGTTCTTGTACATCTCTATAAGTCTGGCACAGTCTCAACATAATGATGGAGTATTATGGGACCCTTGGAAAAAATATTCTGACGCCTTTTCAAGAATTGGAATTGAATTATTTAAGTGCTCAAAATTATTTAAGTGCTCAAAAATGCTGTAAATGTGGCACTTGAGGATGTGGCTTGGAGGAACACGGTGCTGGGTTCATGGTTGGACTTGGTCATCTTAAAAACCTTTATTATTCTTTGACTCAATTTTCCCTCCTTTTCCTTATATATTCAATTGTTGACAAGATCAGCTGGTTCATTAAAAATTCCAGGTAAATATTCTGGAAATCTGGGAAACAAGGCTAATGAATTGCTATGTTAAAAATTCCCAGGAAAATCAAGTTAAAACACTGTCATTATTGGT